TTTGTCTTTCTCTTGAGTGTTTGCACCTCTTTTTTCAGCAAGTATAGAAAATACATGCTGAAATTTCCAAAATTTATCCAAAATTTGTATTACCTGCTCAAAGGTTTTTCATTTTTCAAATTTTGTTTTGAAATCTTTTAAAATCATGTGCATATTTCTTGATATGTTATCAAGCTTTATTTTTTTAAATAAGGTGCACAAAACTAAAAGGAAATTTTTGAGCAAGCCCATCTGTTAAAATATTGTATTTGTTTTATTGTTTTAATATGTTTCATAATAAATTTCACATAACAGTTGAGTCTTGTTTGTTTGCACCTGAAGTGTAAGCGTTCTCAAAGCAAATTTGTGGCTTTCACAACACAACGAAAGAAAATCACTTGTAACACGTCAGGAAAATAACTCACGAACGCCGTAGCCAAAACTGCCCGAATTTTTTCCTCCCGAGTCGACAACACCAACTGCTTTTATCGGCAGAACCTATTTTTCCATTCGTCGACAGCCGGGATAGGATGCTCCGTAAGTTGCATATTAATATCCTCTTATAGCGACTCCTGCGACGGACTTGTTTCTTTTTCGTCCCAGAATACACGCGACGCGCTGTCGCTTGGGTTGACGAGGTCAGTCGCTATAAGAGTTTTGCTGACTACTTTTTGGCAATCCCTCCCCGGCAGATCGCACATAAAAACACGAACTTTTTCCGGGGTACTTGATTATCTCGTTCACTACTCCCCTGTCACATAAGTGACACTCATGGGCGGGCCTCTTTATTCTTAAGCTTCTCCGGAGCGGGCGACTGTTGGAGGAGATTGTGTGTTATGTTCTGAGGTTTCTTCTGATCTGACAACCTTTATGCGCAGAGTCTTCATCATCTGAAGAATGTTCTGAAGATTCTTCTTCTGAGGATTCTTCTGGTCTGACAACCTCACGCACAGAGTCTTCACCATCTGAAGGGGTGCTAGCCCTACCTCCGATGTTAATTATTTGTTCACTTTCTGAGCACTCACTGCTAGTGTCACTTGTTGACGTATCTGTACCTACATAGTGACGCAAGTCCTTTATGTGTCTTGGTATGCCATCAACCAGCACAGAACGCGAGTTACTTAGTCCAGTGACATGCCCCACCCGGTACCGGGTTGTACACCGGCTATGTGGAGATTTCACCCACACGCGATCGCCCAAGTCATACGGCGCTCGTTCGTTTATCCGTTCAGTTGAACGCGTTGCGTCAATGCCTCGTAGCCGGACTTTGTACTGATAAATCATGTTGGCTGGCGCAGTTGAGGGCGATACATTATTGTCTCTCGGGTAACATTGTACCAATACACCGCCTCCATTATGGAACACTGCTTCCTAGCAGCGATTCTTTTGATGCTCCGATGACATCGCTCGATTATGCCATTCCCTGATGGGACATACGCGCAGCGAAATCTGAGGTGTACTCCCACGAAGCCACAAAATCTTTGAATAGTCCACTGCGGAATGCAGTGTCGTTGTCAGTGAGGAGTTCCGTCGGAGGTCCACGTTCAAAGAACAATGACCCCAAGGGGTCAATGACGCTTGCGGAATCCTGTCGACGCAGACGCCGCCAAATAGTGAACCGGGTTGGGCCACAATCAATCAGGGTTAAATAGTGATGTCCGTTATAATGGGTTACACTCACTTGTCCTTTTTGCCATTGCACAGGTGCTGGGTCGATGGACTGACACTCCTTGCATCCTCTGACCACTGCTCTGACAGCAGCTTTGGATACGGAGGGATAAATCTGCCTCACGAAATATAAGGTCCGTTTTATACCGGGATGTTCTACCGGCTCTACCTCTTTCTTAATAGCGTCAAGCCATTTTTGGGGTACCCTTGTTAAAGTATCGGCCTTGTTCTGCTGTGATCTGACCAGCTGTATGTCTCCGGATAAGTGGTATTCACTTACCAACTTTCCCAGTGTGTCTAGCCTCATTCGAATGAGCATCTCGCTCGCAGCCTTTGTACGTATCCTAGACTTCCCCGTAAGAGTGTCTGATATCCACTTATACACGCATGCGGAATCCGTGAATAAATGCAATACCTTTGCATTCCATTGAAGGGTTGGCAGTGACTCCCCTGATAACGGCGTCTAATTCTGACAGGTTGATATGTTGCGTATCCTTCTCGGGACGCAACCAACACGCATCTTCCACGACAGTGTCACCTACTTCAAGAGACACTCCTGTTGCAAGGGAGCTCGCGTCGACCCAGACGTTAAATTCATCCGTCAACGCACCATTTACCACGTACGGGGTCGTCTTGACGCACCCTAGTAATGACTTCCGCTATCATGTGTCTAAGGGGGGCATCATTTGTTGATACTGAGTTTGATGTTTCCAACTCTCCGGCTTCTGAGAGCCTTTCCATCAGCCGTTAGTACGTCCATCTTTTGTCTGCTCCACTGTCGGCAAATCGAACCGTTGGTGAGTGACCGAGAGCAGCCCGAATCTATTAATGCGGTACGCGTTATTCCATTGATGCGTACCTTAATCAGAGGGAGCGCCACTTTCATGCTCGGTGCGGGGAAGAGACCGGCGCTGAACGTCGCGTCCCCCATTCCATTTCCTGGGCACTTAGAGGCAATATGACCTACTTTCTGACATTGAAAGCATCGTAGATCGAGACGTAATTTTTAATGTTCAGGAAAAGAGAGTGGATGTTAGTGGTAACAATTATTTTTAGTTAATTGATCATCCTTAATTACTTAACAATAAAAACAGAAAACAGCATTTATACATAAAATAAAACACCAAATATCTTTACAATATGAATAAGCTAAGCATGAAAATATTAGCAGTTGCCAACACTCTTTTAAATAAAATAAATTTGATTACCTAAAGATTTGTTTTTGTCAAAATTACATCCTCTCGGTGCCTTCTTAAATTATATAATGGACGCAATTGCTAATTCCACCTGTTTGTATTTATTTACCAAGTTATTCTTTCAAAAAAGAGTTCATAATGAAGTTTTGAAAAGTGTGTTGCGGACCCGGCAGCGTGCAGTACTGGTTTATTACGAAGTGGCCTTGTACCAGACATTACACTAAACTACCGAGTCCACAAGCAATGTATAAAAAAATAATAATAATGCGTGAATGAACAGTGAGAGGAAAGGGGTCAATCAACGAGTGCATAAATTAATAAACATCAAAGAGATAGCCGGAATAAAATGACAAAGACGTCTGTTTGTAAAACATGTGTAACTTTTATTAGATGGAAACAAGTAGATTATCTCGTGGTACGAGATCAAGGAAAAGTTCCGCGCCTAAATAGAAATGCAAGATGAACAAGGCGGGAAAAAGAGTTTTATAAGGTTCTGGAAAAGGGAACTCGTTAAACACGAGGTGTATGTGCGCACAGATAGAAAGGAGTACTCACTGTGGATTTTTTGGCGTTGAGAGTGATGTTATGCATATTTTTAAGGTACTGGTTCAAAGCAGATTAGAGTCCAATGAATTGAGAGTGTATGTGATTTTGTGTTTTTTTTTTTTGTTTCAGGTTCAAAGTAGGGTCTCAGAGTTCGGTCAGGTCTTGAATTAACTGTTGAAAATTTTAACGGAATGCTGTGTACGTCTAGCCAAAACGAAGAGCTAGTTGCGGTTGGTTGCATCGTCTATGAGAAGTTAATTATTGCGAGTCCAGAAGGGACGAAGAATATCTGTTCGTCAGTAAGATATCCCTGTCTGTATTTACTATTGACTGACGAGGGATAAATGTAAGTCACCTGTTGAATACGAAGTTTTGCCCACGACTGTGTCGTGTGTCTCGAACGTCTTCTGGTCGAAAACGGAGAAGGTCTGACCTGCGGGTAGCAAGTTTGTTCATCAATAAGATATCCCCTGTCTGTATTTCAAGTTTGACTGACGAGGGATAAAAATAAGCCACTTGTTGAATACGAAGTTTTGCTCACGACTGTGTCGTGTGTCTCGAACGTCTTCTGGTCGAAAACGGAGAAGGTCTGACCTGCGGGTAGCATCAAGATGAGAAGAAGTCTTGGTAAAATGTGAGGTCGCCATTGTTGAAATAAGATATTCCGGCCCGCATATGGGTTAAGGGCACGGAATAAATGAGTTACCCGTCTACTCAGGTTGAGGACCGGGAAACAACTGGTTTGCAAACGCTGTTCGTTTGAGACGCCGAAAAACGCGCGGGAAAAAATTCAAAATCTGTTAGTCTGACTTCATCAGTAGGAGCTAGCGAAGTTCTTCCTCCAGGTTACTGCTACGTCTAGCTGTGAGAGGAAGGAAGGGGTGCAAACCGCGCGCACACACGCACGAGTGTGAAAGGAAGGGAGGAAACTCGCGCGCGCGTAAAATATAGATGGAATTAATGTGTTAATTAATTCCATAAGTGCTTGCAATTTTTTATATTTGTAAACCATTTCCTTATTTGCATTTACTGAGATGTTCACATGTGTTACTGTTGATGAAAACTAACTTACTCATACTGGCAAAAATTATGAAAGTTATTTATTTTGTGATGTCCTTAGATTTTCATATATGTTTTATTGTTTTAACTCTATTCTTTTACAGAGTCGGTCCTTCACCTCTCATCTTTATAAACATTTTGAAGCTGTTCGGACAAAGACACTGCTATTTGGCGTCTTTGGTTCAAGGGACATAACTCTAGTTGAACAAAAAAATAAAGGTTACATGGCAAAAAAAAAAATATCCATGACATACAGTTTTGTTAGTTAAAGGATCAAACTATCAAGAGAATTTATTTAAATACAAAATATAAATTACTAAATTATCTTACAATCATATTTTCCTATTTATGAAATTTATAGTAAAATTATTTTTTTAATAAACGTAATGACATATTCTTTCATTTATAATGACACTGACAGTTAACATTTGTTTGCATATTTCACGAAGAAATATTACCCGGAAGTAACCTTTGTGCTGTGGTCATGTGACCAAAGCACAAGATGGTGACATCAAGCAAGCACCTGATCTGAAGTTCTGATTCAAACTAGAGAAATAGGAACAAATTATTCAAGCTTTTTTTTTTAAAAAAACGTTTTATCGGTAAGATTTTTTTGGTTTATTCTCATCGACGATCGTAAATTCTATATCGTAAATTATTTCATTATGTTGTACAAATCTAAAGTTAAACTACAGCAATGGTTGGGCTGTCTGCTTTTCTAAAAAAAAAAAACTCATAACGCCTACACACACAGTGATTACCTGTTTGCTTTATTTATAGTTACAATAATAAGTAAAAAAAATATAATTGTATTTTTATTCTTAAGAATTACCTCATTAAATACTAACTATTTTGGTTGTAATAAAGGTTCCTTTTTTTTTTTTTTTTTTGTAAAAGACAAATTTCTTTCTCTGTCTAGTTGTGAAGACGTGAGTCTAAATAATAATATCGCTAACAAACACTTGCAAAGGGGAGTTTACTGACGTAAAATTTGTTGATAAATTGAAGACATGACGGGAACAAGTAAATTTAAATTTCGATCTCTAACACATCCCAATGTCAGTGTTTTCTTTCTACTTCCTTTTGAAAGTTGTTTTTTGTGTTTATGTGCGCGTGCACAAACAAAGAAAACTTAATAATACTTAATAATCCTGTATTTTAAATTAAGATATTCTCTAATAATTGCACTGTGTAATAAAATACCAGAAGTTTTATTCCCGTTTGACTTGTTTGTCTCTCTTCCTTAGTCCTTTTACGTTTTTAAAATTCTGTCCTGTTAGTTTGAATAGTATCCTAAATTTCGGGAATTGTTTTTTAGTTGTTCGCTTTGAGTTTATTTTTGTAATTAATGATAAAAATGACGTTTTAAAATAATCTCTCTGCGTGTGTTATAAATTAAAAGTTAAAACCGACTGGCGACTAACCTAATAAAATCTAAAATCAATCGACATTTTTATTTGTACTGTTTTTGTTTTTTTTTTTAATTACTTTAAAAATTTATTGACGCGAATTATTTTTTTATCATTCAAAAAGCTTCATGTCGTTTCGTAAAACTTTTTTAAACCTTTTAAAAGTTTTATTAGTTTCAAAGTGTACAGAAATCCTTTCAAATCGTCTGCGTTTCAAAATTCACTTTTTTTTAAAAGTTTTTTTTTTTTTAATTTGATTAGTTTCCTTTCAACACAAGACTGACTGCTCTCATCAGAAAATAATAACCTTTGCCTTGTGAAAAGTAAAAAAAAACTCCTTTTTTTTTATTTTGCTTTGTATTGAGGACAAAGTTTTTCTTACGTTCTTAAGTAAATAACAAATTTCATTATCTTTTAATTAAACGTTAAAAATGCCTTTTTCTTTGCTCAACCAGTCAGTGTAAATTACACGTAATAATCTCGACAAATGTCCATGGATTTTTTAAAAAGTACCTGAATATTGTTTAAAAAAAGAAAAAGAGGACTGTATTTTATTCACGATTAACTCTGCCTGTATTGTGCTCAATTGTAAATCGCTTTCTTTTACACGCAAATTGTAACTAAAAAAACTTTATCTTTTTGTTATGAAATTTCTCCTTGAAATTTATGACTTGTATCGAATTTCAATATTCTTGCTTGACCTTTTGAATAAATTTCAGTTATTCTGATAAGTTGCCTGTCTGGCTTTATAATTAAAATTTATTTATGTGTGTAGTGTAGCCCATGTGAATTTAATTTATTTCATTTGAAATATTCATCAATTACAACCATACAAATAAATATCAACTACGTAAGTTAATCAGTCATCATCACTTTTCCTATGTTCATTTTATTTTTGTTTTGTTTTTTTACTTCACAAATTTAATTTTTGTGTGTGTCTTTAAATCTTGACCTTCCTCTTGTTTAATTTCCATGTTTTTATTTGCCAACTTCTCTTATCGTCATTAACTTCCATATGATAAAAAAGCCAGACCTTTAAAATTTTAAAAACACTTGTCTATCGGCATTCTTTGCTTAAAAAATATAGGTACGCTCTGAACTTTTATTTGAGGAATATTAGCTGATTTAAACAAGTTTTCTTAATTCAACTGAAAAGGTCAATCTATGATTATTTTTTTTAAGTTGCTTTAATTGTGGTTCAAAGTTTATTTATATTTAATTTTTGTTTTTTGTTTCGACCATCAATCATTATCAAGAACTAACTAACTAATGAATCTAATTGTCATTTTTTTTTTTTTTTTTACCACAGTAAAACAAGAAACAAGACTTTTCAAAAATAGCCCCAAAATGTTAAATTTAAATTTTATCTTAAATTCTAAAATAACATTTTTCGAATTTACAGTAGTTTTATTTCCAATGAAGGCGTGATTTTAAACTCTGATTTTTTTACGGAATCGAAGTTTCTTAAAAGTTGAAAACATTGGTCTGAGTTTAAAATCACGCCTTTATTGGAAATAACTACTGTAAATTCAAAAAATGTTATTTTAAAATTTAAGATAGTGTTAGTTAGTAGTAGTGTTATCTCTGCAATAATTTAACCAAATCATGGCCCAGTGGGTGAAGCGGTTTTTAAAAACACATGCTGACGGAATAGGAAGTATTTTTTATGATAAAAAAACTACCAATCAGACTAATCGGAAGACCAGCACTTACTTAATATTTCAAAGGTCACCAGGAGAGTTAGCAGGTTTGATAAAGTTTAAAATAAATATTAATATTTTTTATCCGTATGTGAAACTAGATGGGCAAACAATGGAGATTTTGTCAGACAAACACAGGTCATATATGCAGGCGGAGAGAAATGAAAGAGGAGTAGGATTGATATTAGATCAAGCCATGAAGAAATGAAATGTGTTCTCGGCTACAGTCAAATATCTGAAAGGATTCTTGTCATTAAACTGAAAGGAAATCCTTTCAGCATATTCATCATAGTTGTTTATGCACTAACAGCACAAAGTAAAAAAAAAAAAAAGAAATCAAAGTTCTATTCTATGCTAGACAATGCCAAGGCTTATTAAGGCAAATCGCAAGAAATTACAATTGTCATGAGAAACCTGAATACCAGACTAGACAATATGAGAAATGGTGAAATAGTTAGAAAATGTGGATTAGGAATTCATAATGACTGTAGAAAAAAATAGGTCCAACGGTGTATGACTAATGACCAAGTAGTAGCCAACACCTGGTCATTTCAATAACGCCCAAGACTTATAGACACAGAGAAATGAAAAACCAAATTGACTATATAACTACCAATAAGAGATTCAGGAAGGCTGTTTTACACTGCAAAATATTCCTAAGTGCCTAGTGCAGCAGCAACCACCTTCCTGTGATATGTAAACTTAGAGTGAAACTACAGAAATTGAAGATTGCCACGACAACACCCAAGTTGCAATATGACAAACTCTTGAATGACCTGAATCTGAAGGAGAAATATATGGAAACTTGAAGTGGGACACATTAAGAGAAGCTTTAGTAATGTCAGCAATCAAGATCATCCCAAAGAAAAAAGAATGGATGACAGATGAAATTCTTAACATGATGAAAAAGAGACAAAAAACAATGCCAAGATGTGGTACAAAATCTAGGACTCTGCACAAAAACATTCGGAACAAATGCAGGTCAACTAAAGAGGAATGACTTGATGAAAAAATAGAAAGAATACATGTCACAGATAAAGCAGATATGATGAAAAAAATAAGAGAACTAACAAGACAAAAGACATCATCAACAGGATGCATAAAATCCAAAGATGGAAGGTTGAGATTAGAGAAAGAAAAATACTTCAAAGATGGAATGAATATATCAGAACTCTTCCATGATGAAAGAAAACAACTGACAATACACAGAATTATGAATCTGAAGTGGGATATTTATTTTTACCCAATAAGGTTTTTAATTATTCTGAATTTAACAGTTACTGAATTATATATTATTCTTTTGAGTGAACAGAAGTCAAAGGCAGTAATTCAGAATTATTTCCATTTTGAACATCCATGCAAAAAATAGTTGATAAAATGAAAAAAATTAAATTTAAAAAAAAAAAACAAAAAAAAAACGGTTCACACTTGAAAATGGCATTAAATTTTACATGTTTTTATTTAAATAAAAAACTTATGAACAACAATGGGTTGAATTTCAAAATTGCACTAAAATTTTTTTTTTTTTATATATAAATATTAAGTGTCCCATCAAATAATCTTTTAAATTATGCAAGCATCAACTGTTAGAAAAAAATTATTTTAGTTTTATTGAATTATTTTTGTTAAGGCTCAGGACAAATTTTCTCTATGTTCACACTTGATATTGAATAAATGTTTTACTGATGTCATATGTTTGGGAATTTTTCTTTTCTTAAAAAAATTTTCGAACACACCCCAAAAAACCTAGATACAATGTATCAAAAAAGGAGTGAAACAAACCCCTAAAAACATTTCCATAAAGATTTCAAATAAAATAATCTATTCAGTATACAATTCATTCATTTTGTTTGAAATGGATAATTACTTGATTTTTGGTAATTTTTATTTTTTTAAAACAGCAGGTATTGATTTTTTTTTTTTTTTTTTAAATTTTGGTTTGAAAAACACATCCATTTTGGTGTTATTGACAAAAGGTTAGTTGTATTACTTTTTATTTTTCTAATCACATCTTTTAATTTTCTCCAACTTTTATAGCATCTGAATGCTTTCTATAATAATATTCCCTTTTATTTTGTTATGGATTCTACATTGTTTTTTATGATCAAGAAGTGAATGATTTTAAATTTTTACTATACTGTTCTTATCCTAAATTTTACTCATTTTGTAAAATAAATTCCAAATAAGTGTTTCTCTTAAATTTATTCCCTGTCATGCTTAGCATTCAACAAGACTGAATCTCTATTAAAGAGGTATTTTAAACAAGTACACTTGCTAGCATATAATAAAGATAATGTGATGAAACAATTTATGATCGATTGTCATACATACTATCCATGTCATACACGTAAATTAAACAGTAAACTTGATATCAAATGGATTTTGGTAGGTGACAGTAATTGAATCTACTGAAAAGACTTGGAAGTTTTCAAAGGAATAAAGAGATTTCTGCTTGAAAATATATTTGTGTCATGGTAAAAGGACACTTTTTAA